ATCAAGACTCAGACGCTGAGCTGGTCGACTGATCCGGCGCAGGACTTTCCAGGGTTGAGGATGGTTGAGGGTTGATTTTGGGTTTGCTAGAATGTTGGCAGAAGATGCTGCAAGTGATCTCAGCAGTACCATTGGAGAGAGTGTAGCTGCAAGCAAATTGCTCCAACCCCTCAACCCTAAACCGAAAAACCGAGAACCTCGTCTGGCTTGTCCGAGTTGCGAGAGCGTAAACCCCTAAAACCCTAAACCCTAAACCCTGAGGGAAAAAAAAGAGGCAAAAGATAGGCCCTGAAGCCACACTAGACTTAGACTCCGAAGTCCGAGGCTCTTCTCAACTGCGAACTCCTCCTCTGCAGATAGGGCCGGCTCTGGTGTAGCGTTGACATAATGAAGTAGATTGATAAAGTATGTCAGAGCATTTTATTTTACTATTCCTCATAAGGCCCATAATCCTATTCTAATCATTAAGGGCTCCAGAGGGTTTGAGGGGACAACTGCAGGAAGGAAGCTGGCGGAGTTTTCACGGATTCAAGACACGTGAAGCCAGGATGTTCCCTACTTCCTGAAGTCTCTTGGGATAGACGATCCGATCATGGAGGTGCAAGTTCAACGGGAAGCGGGCGATAATGAGACATGGCCCAACATGTAAATGCGTCAGCGAGGGCGAGTGCCAAGACTGTGAATAAAAGGATGAGGATACTGAAGAGAGAGACAGAGAGAGACGAGAGGTTTGATCGTGCGAAAATGTACTTTTGTGGATCGGCGAGTGTGTTAGTAGCAATCTCTGTCCTTTTTACTGCAGTACGCACGATCTTTCCGTACAGCCTTGAGTAGCTCAGAACTGTTCTCGCAAAACATGTGGGAGTTTCCCCGCGCCCGAGAAGGCACCTACTACCCAATTACGTGTCATCCTCTGAGCGGTGTACCTGTTGAAAACTGCAGCCGCACAGAATACTTGCGAGTTCCCACAACATCCGGGGCAAGGCACCTGTTTGATCTGTATCTTGCTATCATCTTTACTCCACTACGAAATATACGTGCCTTCAGTGCTGTTGGAGACTATTTTTGTTTCGAGTGCATACATCCCACCTGATTCGTCAGGGTAATTACTTATAGCGTTAGCTTACAGGGGAATTATGCTCGCTCCTCACCCCCCACATCCCGCATAACAAAACCTGCGGGTGGGCTTGAAGCCCGGGGGTCTTAACCGACCCCTATGCCCGGGAGAGAGAGAGAGAGAGAGAGAGAGAGAGAGAGAGAGAGAGTGAGTGAGTGTGAAAAAAACAAAAAACCCTTCGTCCTGAGGGCCGCCTCCTCGTCACAGACATCATGTTGAAAACCAGCCGCTGCCTTTCATCAAGATCTTCGACGTTGGGGGATGAAGCAGGGAGCTGCACTTCAACGACCCAACTTCGTGTCCTGCATTGTTTCGGAACAGAGTTCAGGGAAAGCATTGTGTTTTAAGAATGCGTTTTTTTTCTCTTGACTACCACTTGTTGTGGTTTTGAGGTAATTCAGCTCCTGAGACAAAGCTGGTCAACAAGGCACACACACACACACACACCATCCAAGACTATCCTTTTTGGACACACACGCAAACCAACAGACAGAGAGCCAAACAGGCATTCCAATGTACGTCGTTGTCGTCGCTTGGTATAAGACATGTGGGCGGTTGTCAAGAGCAGGGTCCCTTTTTGTGTCATTCTTATAATACGGCACCTAATATTTAGGGTACCCAAAAAGGGACCCTAATTTTGACAACCACCCATGTATGTGATACTGCAACACAGAGCAGCATAGACTCAGACTGCACAGGGCACAGGGTGTGTCTGTAAGAGCGGTTTCCGGTCTTGTGCGCACCCGAAGACTCATACATGCATGGCCTGGCCTTGTTGCGGTTGTCGGGGCCGAACCGGATGGTCAGCTTCTCTTCGCCCAGGTGATCTGCCTTTGCTGCCTGGACCTCAAGACTCACAGGATGATGGGCTTTTATCGTTTTATCGGTTTTGACTCGTGATAAGAATACGAAGTACCTGTTGCTATTCTTATCACTCTTCTTTCGTACCATTGCCGCGGCTGCGGGCTTTTGTGTGAATGGCCCTATCCCCATGGAGTTGCCCGTGGGTGACAAGCTGCAGAAAGCCATAGCAGTGTAGAGTAGTATTGTGGCAGCATCATGATGGCCTGTTGCTTGTGAACCGTTTCTGAACGGGCTTGTGCTGACCATGATATATGAATATGTCAATATCTATGACCTCCCGGCTGGCTTGTCACAGCTTCCGACGCGGCGCGTCAAGACCGGATCGGAATGTTCATGAATCGCAGGGGAGGTCTCAAGAGAAACAGAAGTGCCGGTATTGAGGTATTGAGGAGCCCGCAGGGTGTTAAAAGGAAGCTACTTGGTAAGCATGTTGAGCTGTTAAGGTTTAGAGAGGAGTTCTTGCAATTCACGCGTGGTGTCGGCTCTGGTCCGTTCATGTGTTCTAATCTTCCATCAGCTTTGTCACCGTTCACAGGTCTGCTTTCATGGCAGGGTGATGGGCATGGCAGGTGAGGAAAGACGTCGCTCCAAAGCAAGTCTGGTACATGGAATTGGGTGGTTGCATTTGTGGATCTGTCGATCTAGAATCTAGAATTCTAGAATCTACACCTTCACCGCAAAGGTGCAGAGTTGCTTTTCGTAGTGTTCCTACTTCCAACTTGGCGCACCATTTACGAGCACAAGCTGCGCACTGGCCCCACCTTCGCAACTTCAGGCAAGTTGCAGGGTGTTCCTAGCCAGGGAAGCAGCTAGGCCTCAGAACTACCAGGTACAAAGCAGCAGACGGTTTCGTGCTGCTGGAACCTCAGCGTCGAGATTTCGGCATCCATCCAATTCTTTGCAGGGTCTAGAGTCCATACCAATATCAACATGGGGGCCTCATTATGAGTGTACAGCAGTGTGCCCCAAAAAAACACCTTCAAATTTTTAAGGCCGCTACCATGCTAAGGTTCGCAAGTCCAGATTCGGGATGTTTGTAAACCTTTGGAGGCTGTCAGCGTATCATATTCAGTCGAAGTTTAAGGTTTCCGTAGCTTTGAGGAGTCGAGAGCAAGGCCCTTTCAAGTTTCAGTCAGTTTGGCAGCGTGACTTTTCGCGGAAGCGCGAAACAAAGATCAAGTGGGAGGACCTGTAACCCCGGCACCCAAGAAGGCTGTATGCAAACCAGGTTGACTCTGACAGACTCTCCCCCGATACCGGGGCCCAATGTATCTGGATGGTTGTCTAAATTCTGGTCCCTTTTTGGGTACCTATTATAATACGGCACCTAATATGTATGGTACCCAAAAAGGGACCCTAAAGTTGGCAACCACCCATCTGGAAAGCACGAGCTCCCGGAAGCCCACGGTCAAACTGATATGCGTAGGCTGGGTTTCAGTTTAGGGCATGAGGCTTGGGCTTGGAAGCATCATCCCATGATCCCGGTGAGGCCTAGCCACGGTGAGGGCTGGGGCCTTCCTCTGATCGAGGTGCACCGGTTTCCAGTTTTGCGGGTTGGCTCGTCGTATTTTTGAGGTCGTGCTGCGCGGCAACATGTAGCGCCGAGGAAGGAGAGTTTCGCTTACTTGGATGTCCGGATGACGAACCGTCCCCGGGATGTGCTTGCTCTGTCATAGGGCTTGCAGAGTCGCGGGAGTTTTGGAACATCTTGACGTTTTTGCAGGTTTCCGGGTCTTTCGCTGTTTAGACAGAGATTAGGCTCGGCAGGACAACAGCGATCCGCAACTCCACACCCGGTGCATTTTCAGCTTCCTCAAAGCCCTTGCGAGACCTTCTGCGCAGCCCGGTGCACTCTGTTCTTTCACCCTCCTTCCTGCCGCCCCTCTCCTCCGTACTTTCGCGCCTCCCTCCTCCAGCCCCCCCCCCTCCCCTCCGTCTTTTGAATTCCGTGTTACCCGAGAGCTCACCAGAAGCACCCTCCGCACCCTCTGCACACACGGATTGCATGTTCCCAGAGACTCAATAACTGTTCATTAAGGAATATGCCTTAAATTATAGTAGAATCCCTACTAGAATTTAAGGTATATTCCTTCAGTAAGAGATATTGGAGCCTCTGTGGCAGCTTTGCGCGCGCGCGTGTGGTCCAGGCAATGGCCTCCGGCTTGCCCACAATTGGCACTGGCTGGGGTCCGTTCCTTAGCCAAGGGCGAGTCACGGGATCCTCGCGTGTGGGACTTTCATACAAGAAGGGCTCGAATATTATGTGAAGTCTGAGTGGGTAGTTTGTTGGCTTTTCTGGGATGCTGCGTGTTTTGCTCAGGAGTTTCTTTGGATCTTTGAGGGATCCTGGTATTAGGATGCATCCGGGACAGCGACGGCAAGGGCCCAGAGCAGTTTTCATTTTTTTTCGGAAGTCCGTCTTTTCGTCGTCGGGGCCCGGGCGTGGGTCTTCTGGAATGTCTGCGACGTCCTTACACTTTTGAATGTGGACCGCGAGGTCTAGACTTTTTCGTACCGGGTAGTCTCTGGAGCTGCCTTGAAGGGGCCGCTGCATCTTAGTCCCGTGAGGGTGGCTGACAAGTCAGGCGGCTTTGCATTGATCCCACGTCGTTCCTGGTAGGATTCCCGACCCTTTGCGTTTGCATTAAGATCTTGACCTGGGGTGCTTCTCTTTCCTGCATTGCAAGCACAGCTGCTTGCACAGGTGGGCAGACGGACTTCATGAACGACCAGAACTCGTGGCCAATAGGCAACTTGCTAATTCAATCGGGAGATTTCTGATGCTTCCTTACACAGATGTGCTACTGCTACGCCCCTCACTGGCACTCAATAGGCAGGGCCAGGCTGGAGTTGCTAGAGCCCAAATTTGGGGGTTCTTGGCGAGGGTTGGGCTGATCCATCCCAAGAAATGGCTCGACCCGTGAGCACGTAACACATGCTTCGCGAGCTGAGTTTTCGTGCGTGGCCAGGGCTCAAGGTTTCTCTATTAGTCTGCCCGGGTTGACACAAGCTGATAGCGATGGGTCTCGCGTTCACGAAGATATGGCAGCGCATGATCGGGAAGCAGGAGATGCGGATTTTGATGGTCGGCTTAGATGCAGCCGGTAAAACCACCATTCTCTACAAGCTGAAGTTAGGCGAGGTGGTCACCACCATCCCTACGATCGGCTTCAACGTGGAGACCGTGGAGTACAAGAACTTGTCATTCACCGTGTGGGACGTTGGTGGCCAGGACAAGATTCGCCCCCTGTGGCGCCACTATTACCAGGGGACGAATGGCCTGATCTACGTGGTTGACAGCAACGACCGGGATCGCATCGAAGACGCACGCGAGGAGCTCAACAAAATGTTGAATGAAGACGAGATGCGTGACGCGGTGCTCCTGGTCTTTGCGAACAAGCAGGACCTGCCGAATGCGATGACCGCAGCAGAAGTCACCGAGAAGCTCGGGCTGCACAACCTGCGACATCGCCAGTGGTTCATCCAGTCCGCTTGTGCTACCACAGGAGACGGTTTGTACGAGGGTCTCGACTGGCTCTCGCGGACGCTGTCCTCGAAGCGCTAAGCAGGTGTAGACAGTGTAGAGGGGCCTCTGGGGGGCGTATCATTGTGTAGTGTGGTACTCCTCTGTGGGAGCCTCTGCTTGCAGACCTTTGCTCTCGGCTTCTGCAGGGAAGTCTGTGAGCTTTCGGGGCGCATCATTGTGTAGTGTGGTGTGCCTTCAGATCGGATCATCGGTCAATGGCTGCCGGATATTTTCCTGGACTCGGCACAATGCACCTGTGAAAAGAAGATGTCGCCGATTCCGCTTTGCCTGCCGTTCTGAAGCTGAACCTTGCAACGTAAATCCGGGCATTTTTCCAAAATGTAGTATGAGCCAAAGTAGAAGTTCTGGTAGAGGCTACAAGCCTGGACCTAGAGGGGACACTGGGGAACCTGCATATCCTACAATACCATCGTCGCTAAACCCCCGGAAACCTTGAACCCGCAACCCCAAATCCATATGCGTAACCCCCAAACCCGAGGCGCTGGTTCTTAGGCTACTTTGTCATTTATGCATTTTTCTTTCCTTCAGAGATTGCTCCAGACTCCGGCGATACAGTACCTTGTGCATAGTGTAGTCGGGCTGACAATAGTCTCACGCCGACCTGCGCCGATTGAACCTCGCCTGGCTTGACCGAGTTGTGAGAGTGTAAACTGAACAAACCCTGAATCCAAAGCCCAAAGACATCCAAAGACCCAAAATGGCGAACCCTTATACTAATAGAACACTCATTCTTAGAACCCGGGCGGAGCCTCTACACCGCCCCATGCCCCATAGGGGCCCTAATAATTACCTCTACTACTTCGGGGGTTTCTTATTCTAACTATAGTAAAAACAGGCCTGAAACCCTATTCCAATTATTCAGGCCCCGATACTATCGAACCCTACTAAAGATCCCTTATAGACCACCTTTAAGGATCCCTTAAAGGGGAACCCTGCTTTAATTATTAAGGCACCCTATATCCCTAAATCCCTTATAGTACCCTTGTAGATCCCATTTAATTACCTATGCTACTTTGGGGGTTTCCTTATTACAACTATAGTATAGTGGGCAGGTTAATAAGGGCCCTATAGTAGCCTCAACCGCCAGACTACGAGCTCGTCGACTCTCCGACGCCGCCGATGAGGTGGGCCGAACCCAAGGCAGAAGAGCTTCGAAAGGTCCGAGCCTAAGGTCCTTTCTGTGAAAGTATACCACATTATACTATGAATTGCTATACCACATATTACTATACTATACTGTTCATATAACTGTACTATACCGAATCATATGATCGGTACTCTACTGAATCCTATTTGCTTTCGATCTCAGAGTTTTTGGGGGTTGGGGGGTCTGCGGGTTCAGGGCTGCGTGTAGAGAGTGTCGAGCTCTTTGGGATCCTTGGTCTAGGACGCCCAAGATGCTTGGAATATGCTCGGATCCACTGTAGTACCTACCCTTCATAGAGCCCGAGCAAGTTCAGAGAGTGTACTATAGGGGCCTAAATCATTACCAGTACTATTTTGGGGATTCCTTATTAGAACCATAATGTATATTTCCCAAAACCCTATTCTAATTATCAAGGCCACTATATCAAAAGAACCAGTAGGGGATCTCAGAGGGTGTAAAAAATCGGTTGGGGGATCCAGGCTCGGGTTGGGGTTCAGGGCCTTCGAGTTTCCATCGCATTAGGGCCTTCCGTTTGGGGTGAAGGGTTGAGGCTGACCTGGACCCCCCATCCAGCCCGAAGAATCCGCCGAAGACTACCTTTTAGAGAGGAACAAGAGATCGCTTTATGGGTTCCCCTGTGGGGTGCTTAAGGATCCCTTGTCGAGGCCAGATGGGGGTCTCAGGAGGGTCTCTAGGTTCAGGGCTTAGCTTAGGTCTTCCTTTTAAGAAGGAGCTCTGGCTTAAGATTCTGGCTTTTACGGTCTTAGGATGTTAGGGTATTTTGGTATTGGGGTATTGGGGTATGTTGGTATTCGGGTACTGGGGTATCAAAGTAAGGGCATTAGTATGGCATTCGGGATTCGGGTATTTTTGCCAAGCAGGGCCACAAAGACACGTAAGTGTTTAGAGTTTAACCCTAGAGTCCCTTATAGAGTTCTGAAAATGGGTATGAAGGTTTGCCGCTCCTTCCAGGAGCGAGCTCAAGCCCAAACTTTCCCGAGACGCCTGGCTTGAGCTGGCCAGTCCACTAAATCATGTAGAGGTTCTGTCTACCAGTTTCAACTCATCATCGCTCTTTTGGTGACTCGTGCCCAGGCGATGCTCGAGGTCGTGGCAGGTGGCTCCGAGGTCGAGGATCGCACCGCTCGCGCCTGCCAGGAGGCTCCTCTTTTGGCATTCGTCGGTGTTGGAGTTGGGTCTTGCTGAGAACCTTGGCTTTCCGGTGTCATGGCCGTGGTCTCGATGGGGCGCGCTTCTGCGAGCTTGGTTTGGGCTCCGAGGTTCATATTTTGGGGTGTGCTGCGGTCCCGGGTTTAAGAAGTGCTATTACCACATAGCCAGAAGCCGATTGGTTGCGGATCCTTTTTTGTAAAACTGGGCGACATTCGGCAACGATGGCGACGGCTAGTCGTGAACCCACCGCAGGTGCACGATCACTACACCATCGACTTGCTGGCTGCGGAAGCGATAAAACTCTTCGAGACGACTGCTCAGCTGTGGGCGCTATTTGAGAGTTTCCGAAAATTACGGGTACCTTATTGTGGGGTCCGTACAATGAGGCTCCTACTCTTTAGGGTACTATATTAGGGTCCCCGGAAACTACCATTTGTTGGCTTTTAGTTTGGTTGCAAGGTTTGGAGATCCGATAAGCCATAGGCCATGTAGGCCCGCCCAAGCCCTAAACCCTAGCCCTCAACCCTAGACCCAGAGCCCATGTAAGCCTGGACGAAGGGCAGACGTAAAAAGGAGCTCGAAAAAAAGACCAAGAGCCCTCCCCCCCCCCCCACCCAATCATCCCAGGTCCTTGATACCGGGCGCTGCCGAAGGCCTGGGCCCTCCGCCAGCCTTTTGGGGAAGGTCTGGTGAAATCTTTCTTTGGGCCCTTAGGGCCCTGCAGGACTTGGGATCTCTTTTGGCGGTTCTGTAGGATGAATGCGCGGCTGATCACGCCGTTGTTGGCATGATCGCTGGTTTGAGTGCTTTGTCTCTAGTTGCTGTGGTTACATGGTACCAGTATCGCACTTACCTTTGCGGTTCTGTTTATCGTCGCTGCCGCACCTGCCAGCTGTTTGCTGCCACGGTTCGTGTGATGATGGTCCTGATGATGATGTGTATTTGTTTTGGTCACGATGACCATGATGACGACGCCATGTGCTTGTAGGCTTACTACAGTTGTCAGCGAGCCTTCCACTCGAACCAATCCCCAGAACCCCCCAAGTCCCGAGGCCCAGTTCTCTGAAGGCCTGGGGTAAGCAATGCGAACACACATAGCTCCCTCAGAGTGATCCTGCAACTCCTCGCCTGGCTTTGCCGAGTTGTAGCCCAGTTCTTTTGGGGTGTTTGGGGGTGTTTGGTCTTCAGACCACCTAGCCGCGAGTCTGGGCCCGAAGGCCGGAGGCCCAGGAACCCACTGTTCGGGATCAGGCGGTCCGGGCCCATTATACTATAACTGGAATAAGGACCCCCCCAAAAAAAACAAAAAATAGTATAGGTAATTATTAAGGCCGTCAGGCCAATATTATTAAGGCCGTCAGGCCAATCGAGCCAGAAGAGTATACTGTCCATGCGACCGCAGAATGGAAGCCTAGTTTGCATACACAGGCGGCCGGTGAAATCAAAGTTCTTAACAGACGGAAGAACTCCCTCCAAGGCTCGAAGCTGCAGGTTTCCAATCCGATGTTTCGGGCTCCTTCTGTTTGGTCTTGACCTCTCTGTGAGCTTAAAGGGTTTCACGAGCGGGTTTAGGGCCTTGCTTGGGGGCTCTATGGGGGCTTTAAGGCCGTTCTTCTGCAGCTGCTTAGCTGGCTTGGCCACAGTAGATCGGCTCAGCCGCGGTCAGCGGGAGCTTGCACCACAAGAGGCCACAACCTGTGACGTATCGTCGAATGCCCAGGGCTTGGGGTGGTCGGACATTGTGAAACTCGGCTCTTCACACGAAGCAGTTGTCTAGGACTTCAGGCATGCGGTTTAGGGCCACTATAGCGGGAACGGCCTCCATCACAGGCAGGCTTCAAGGAGAGAGAAGAATCCAAGTCGAGAATAGGGATACGGTGTACCAGGAACGGCATGTAGCGCTCTTGAAGCCTTGAACGCTCGGCCTCTTATGGCAACCCAAACTGTGGCCCCAATAGTAACAACTGACCACGAAAATAACCTTCGTAGGTTCTTCTTTGCTCTGCGCTGAGGGCGGGGGGGGGGGTGGTGTTGGTTTTACCCGGAGCGCTCCTGCCCGCAGCGAAATGGGAACAAAATCCCGAAGCTGGTTCAGGGTTGAGGATCCTCCGGGGTCCCGTCAGAGCACTTAGTCTGAAATCTTAACTCCTCGGAGCTCTTGATTGTAAGCTCCGAAGCCCGAAACCCTTTGTGCGAGTGTGAGTGTCGAAGCCCAGAAAAGCTTCTGAACCGAGAGACCTCGTCTGGCGAAGTCCCAGTTCCAGTTGCGAGAGCGTAAACCCTGAGAACACAACCCTAAACCCCAAAAACCCCGAAGTAGCTCCGTCCAAGCGGAGCCCCTGAGCCCATGAGTACCAACATGTGAGACTCCAGGCCCTCCACAAAAAGTAGTACAATACAATATGTAATAACATGATATGACCAAGTTGCACAACACAAGACAATACAATACAAGACGACAAACTACACTGCTAGAACCTTTCAAAGGCAAAAGAAGCAGAAAGGTTCCATGGAGTGCTTCAATGGCCTCTTCGCGAAGCGGCCAAAGCTCGTGCAGCTGCCCGTGACTCCGGGCAAGGCCCGTTGGTCGAGTGTGTGTAAACCTGAGGGTTTTAGGGGGTTTGTGGCTTACGGGCTTACCTAAAGTTTGGGCCTGGGCGTTCAATTCGGGGTTTAGGTTAGGGGTATAGAGCTTGGCCGCCACCAGAAGGTTTGCTTGATGGCTCTTTGAGAGTTTCGATATCTCGCTTCTGGGCCGGCGCCGTGGTGTAGTGAGGACGTTAAAAGGGAGCAGATGATCATGTATCTTTCCCAGCCGGGACCCTTAGGGGGTAGTTCATGCGCCCTAACCCTTTAGTTATTTCATGAGCCTTAAACCCTTGCAAGGTGCCCATCTTCGTTATGCTGCAGCTCGACTGGCTCTCCGATGACGGCCAGGCGCTGCGGTACAAGGACTCCTCCTGAATAGGGTGGTTTCTTACATGAGGGTGCCTTGCTAGAGTCTCTACATACCGTAAAAATACTTTGTACTGGGTCGGGTCTTTGTTGGGTCCCTATTTTCTCATTTTTTTTTGAGTTTCCAGTTTCTCCCGCAGCGGAAGTCGATTAAACACCGCGGCCGGCCCGGACTTCTCAGCCACGCCTCGCATAAACCCTACTCGGTGATTCAGCATATAACTTCTACACACCTCCGCGAACATGCACACACACACACACACTCTCTGTCTTACTTTCTTATTCCACTTGTCTCTCATGCTCACACCTACAGCACCCTCACATTCATGCATATGTATTCGCACACACACACACACAAACACACACAGACAGGATGCAGAATATCTAATGCGCAGAAAAGGGCAGCAGTGCACGTTCGGAGACAGAGGCCGAGCTAGACTACGTGGCTATGTTGGCAAGTAGGCATGTAAAAAAAGTATGTTTGTATACATAAGTAGACTGTTAGATAGCTAGAGACTTAGGTCATTCGATAGGTAGATGGATAGGCAGATAGATATAGAGATAGACAGACGTCGAGATAAAGAGATAGAAAGACAGAGGGAGAGGTCAGATAGGTAGATAGGCCGATTGATAGATCGTGAGATCAATTGATCGTGGACCGATGGATGGACGGACGGACAGAGAGAGAAAGGGGGAGACAGAGACCGAGAGACACCGACAGCGACAGAGAGGGATAGATAGACAGAGAGAGAGAGAGAGAGAGAGAGACTTAGATGGATAGATGGAGAGAGAGAGAGAGAGAGAGAGAGAGAGAGAGAGAGAGAGAGAGAGAGAGAGAGAGAGAGAGAGAGAGAGAGAGAGAGAGAGAGAGAGGCGGGGGCTCGCCCTCAGGCCCGGAGAAAGAAAGAGAGAGAGATAGATGGATAGATAGATAGATACTTAATGATAGGTAGGTAGGAAGGTACCGGGGTAGACAGGAAAATGGATGGACAGATAGACAGACAGATACCGCGTTAGACATGATGTATATGCGCTTAAGCATAGGCACAGAATGCAGCAGGATGCCAACCAGCAGCACCACAAGCTGGCAGGCAATCAACGAGACCTAACTCACATCTACATCTGGCCCTAAACCCTAAACCCTAAAACCCTAAACCCTGGATTTATAATTACCCACACAGGAACAGGGGAGACACAGGGCAGAGACAGCGACTTTGGGACCGACCCTAAACCCGAAACTGCCCAGGAGGATCTCAAGCGCCAGTTGACGGCTGCCAAGACGGCCGGGCTCAAGGGCGTGATGGCCTGAAGCTCAGGTCCCCCTAAGCCCTAAATCCCTAAGCCCTAAGCCCCTTCGCCTGGATTGTCCGAGTGTGAGCGCCGAAACCCCTAAGCCTAAACCCCAGGCTGGGTGTGTCGGATACCAAGGGAGGTTCGGAAGTCACACGTTTCCCGGCACCAGGGGGGCACCTCGAACTTCGCAGAAAAAGAGGACTCAGAGAGACGCAGGGGTCAGCGATTGGAGTTCAGGTTCAGGGTTTAGGGTTTAGCGGCTTCGAAGATAGTTCAGGAGATCGTCGATGCTTCTTCACTTCTCGTGTTTCTTTCGCTCCCGCGTTTGCATCCCTCGTCAAACGAGAAGGCCCTGCTGTTGAGGAGTGTTCGCTGGCACACAATCCAAGCCCATGCTGAAAAAAGGGGTTTAGGATTCAGGTTTAGGGTTGAGGCTGTCCCGGCGTGACGTTGCAAGCCAGTTGCAAAAAAGGGTTGAGGAGTTCCAGCCGGAGGCGTTTTGGATTCAGGCTTTGGGGCCTTCTCAGGCGCGGAGTTGAAGCATCCGGCTCCGCAGCTGCCGAGATAGTACCCTAACTGGGCCCTTAATTGTTGCCTTATTTGTAATATATCACCGTTTCATATAAATAAGGTAACAACAACTCGGGTAATATAACCCTAAATGATACCTTGTGTATAATATTCAACCGTTATAAATTAATCAGGTAATCGCAACTGGAGTATTCTAACCCTAGTTGCTAAGTTCCATGATCCTCTAAGTAGATGCCGGCAGCAGACGGTGTGGAGTGGTAGCAACAAGAGAACAGCATCTCCTGTCCTGGACCGGGATCGAAGCCGCGGCTCAGGCCGACGTTTGGTGGGGCCTTTGCCACCGGCTTGCAAAAGGATTGCGGAGCCTTACACCCTAAAACAAACCTTTAAACCCTAAACCCTAAATCGTGTCGAAGCTCATGGTGGTCTTGGCCGACGTCAAGGAAGTAGCAGTGACTAGATTCATCTTCAGGAGAAGCGGCAGAAACAGTGGCGGCAGTGCGCTAGCACCTGTCGTTCTCGTCCTCATGTCGCAGTACTTACCGGTAGTGAAACTCGTCGTCGTGCTCGGTCATCGCCGCCGCCGCTGTCGTCGTCCGCGTTGTCGTCGCCGCGGGAATGTCAGGCTTGTGCTTCAACTCTTCTGGGACTTTCTGACAGACCAAGGTGAGCCAAAGCCAGAGGAGACTGGGAAAGGGCGGCCGTGTGGCACCGGTCAACTAGTTTTTGAGACTGCCCGCTGTGTGAGCCAAAAATTAGGATTCTGATGCTCCTCAGGCGTCGATTTTCTGCAGAACGGCATCTTCCGCGCAAGATTGAGCCTAAAGCAGGAATCTCCAAAACGCGAAATTTTCAAGCGTTCGAGCGACTCGCATCAGAGGCTGCGCCGTGATTCTGAGCTCCACGAGAGCATGAAACCGTCCGAACTTACTTTTCCAAAGACTCGAATGCCTTGCCACGCGACATTGCAATTTCGAGCAGCCTAGCGATGAGCGCTACTCGGTACCGCTGTCACTTCCCCGCATTGAACTATGTCGTGGCTGTTGTCAGCTACTGATTTTTGTTACGATAACAAGCTCCGCAATCATCATCCTTAACCATTGCAAGAAAGTCATTTGGGTACATGGACCCTTGTTCTCTCAACTCTATGTTGGATTGCGCGTCGTTATTCGAACCCATTGTTACAGACCTTGCTAGGCTAGTCCGAGAGTGAGTGTCAAAACAAACTCTATAAACCCTCATAGAACCCTTTAAAGGAAGCCTTAAAGTGGGACTTGCAGGACTATCACTTCGGTGGTGCCCTGGAGCTCTGTAACCTTTTGAAGTCGATAGGGCTGGAGCTGCAGGCGGATGTCCCAACAACTCACGCGTTTCGGATTTTCTGTGTGGGATTTGGGATTTGGGACTTTAGGGTTTTGGATTTGGCGGTTATTATCCTAAAGAGCAGCCCTTATAGTACCCCTTATAGACCCCTGGAAAGGGACCCTATTCTAACGAATATATAAGGCCTTTGAAGGCTTCAGTTCCGAGCTCTTTTCAAGAAGAGTTCTGAAGAAGGCCTTGTAGGAACCTGATTAAGAGACCCTGGGCCTACAACCCGAAAATAGTAGGATTCATGTAAGGAACCCAAATATAGGCCCAAGGTTTCTTAATCAGGTTCCTACATTACAGGCCAAAGCCCGTTAAACCTCGAACCCCGAGCAGTACCTAAAGGCAACAGCAAAACAGTCTCTGGACTCCCTAAAAACATATCCTTTGGGCACCCATCGCAAAGCCCGGACAGGCAGATCTTCGAACCCTTTCCAAACCCCACCACAACCCCAAAAACCCCCACCACACCTTCCCCGAACCACTTCCCAACCCCTGTTTTCTCCAAAAGCCCAAAACCCAAACCCAAAGCCCCTAAATTCCTAAATAATTACCTACACTATTTTTGGGTGGGTTCCTTCTTATAATTATAGCATAATGGGCCCCAAAACCATATCCCAATTATTCAGGCCCCTAGGTTAAGCCCCTAAACTGCGCACCCCTAAATCCCTTATAGTACCCTTATAGATCCCTTTTAAGGAACCCTTAAAGGAACCCTATATTCTACGTACGCCCCTAACTGCGCAGCTTCTTCGGAAGGCGGTGATGTCCTTCCACCAGTGCGGTGGCAACGTGGGCGACTCCGTCAGCTTCCCCCTTCCGGCCCTCTGAAAGGGGGGGGGGGTTCCTTAAAGGGATCACTATGGGGGTTCCTTTAAAGGGATCTATGGGGGTTCCTTTAAAGGGATCTATGGGGGTTCCTTAAACGGGATCTATGGGGGTTCCTTAAACGGGATCTATGGGGTTCCTTGAAGGGATCTATGGGGGTTCCTTAAAGGGATCTAGGGGGGTGCCTTAAAGGGATCTATGGGGTTCCTTAAAGAGATCTAGGGGGTTCCTTGAATGGATCTATATGGTTTAGGGTTTAGGGGGTTTACTTGGAGCGGCAGGGGACTAAGTAAGTAGGTTATAAGGAGAGTTATAAGTACCCTAAATGGAGTCACCCCAATTACAACCCTACTTATAACCTACTTACAAGGTCCCCTGCAGCTCCAAGTAGGGGTTGAGCGGTTTGGGGTTTATGTTTCTAATTTTGGGGTGTTACGGTTTAAGGTTCAGGAGTTTAGACTTGAGGATAGGCCGGACTCCCGCTTAGGTTCTTTCATATTCACAGGGGTCCCTTTTGCTTCGGGTTCCTTCAGGGTTTGCGGATTTGCTACAACCAGTTAGGATGCGTAGAAGCAAAGATTCTACATAGTGGAGGTAGCTTAATCTTCTTAGGTGTTCTGAGAAAGCACTTTGTGCTTCTGTGCTGCTTGGTCGTATTTCGAGCTAAGATCAACCGGCGGGATGAGGGCTTCGTGATTGAAGTGCAGGGTGTTGGATGGGGCGCTTCCTTTTTCGAGCCTAATTCTCTGATGCTTTAAGGCGATGGAGGAAGGTCGGGCTTTGCAGACGTTTTTTTTTTCAGAGTTTTGAGCCCTGAAGCTGTTCGTTAGGACTTTGAGTGGAGGCCGTGCGAATTCAGAAAAAAGGCATGTACAACTGGTTTTCACTGCATGCTGCGTAGCTTCCGCTGTGTTTGCATTGCATCTCCTGTTCATTTGCAGTTCTCGTCGGTGTACGCATAACCACGCACGACTTATGCAGCAGTACGGTGCGTGTGGAAAGCGCGCTTTCAAAGCTCAAGCCCAGTTCCAATGATTCTTCAAGACATGCTGCAGGCTTCGAAGAAAGAAGGCCCCATAGCAAGCAAACTGGGTGAACCAGGCTTGTGATCCCAAGTCTCGGGTTTAGATCGCATAGCTTTGTACCCTCGAATCGGCAACAGAAGTCCCGAACCCCAGATTTCGCCACCGTGCGAGAGGGATGAACCGCATAGAGATTTTCATGTCCGCGTGCAAGGATAAAGGGTGAAATGCAGAACTTATGGAGATCCACAACATTGAAGAAAGTCACTTCTCAATCCTTGGCGGCTCCGGAGGCAGCTGCCAATTGGGGTTCTTTGCCAGTGCTTTATGGCCAGCGACGGGTGGAATAGATAGCGAAAGCCTTGCAAAAGCGACCGGACTGGGCAGGACTGGTGCCTGAACAAGGCCAAGAGTGGAGGCTTCCTTTACAAGAGCTGCTCCGATGAATTCACAAAGGACCCTGTGAACCTTCGGGGGTTTCGGGTTTAGGGTTCAGGGCTTGAAGCCGAAATTCCGGGAACGGGCCCGGATCCTAGAGCAGAGTGTGCAGGGCACATTTCAAAATGTGGTACTTGTAGCTTCTAGCGAACACTGAGCAGGAAGTGGCGCTTGAGACAAACCGAGCTTGGGCTGGGCTTGTTGAGTAGGAGTGTCTTCGAGGAAGCCGAAATTGAAGGCTGAACGCACGTTTAGAGGGTTTCAAGAATGGCTTTAATCCTGCCCCGGCCAGAGTCCCAATTATACTTGTGCTATGAGTTACCTCAAGACCATACCCTACTGCAAGTATTGCGGCCCCAGTAGTAGATTCCTAGAGATTAGGTGGTGGGCCGTGTAGGGTGGAGCTCGTCAGGTTGCAGGCTCCACTTCAGGGCTAAGGGCGAAAGCCAGTTGCCTGTCGTGCGCACGGCAGACCTCAGCTGCCTCGCAGTAAACAACCGGCCTCAGAGTGAATGTCAAACTCCGGAGAATCAGCACTGAACCCAAATTAGATACAGCTCGGATGGTAATAGAATCTGCTACTGTGGATGGAGGAAATTTGGCTTGCTTTTGAGACATAACATGCGTCAAGTAGCTTCACCCCACACCCCGTGCTTAACACTGCTATGAACATGGGGCTCTGCAAAACCGTTCCAATAACATGAATCTTGCACTGCCCCCCGAGGTCCGTCGTCAACTGTTAAAAAGGGGGTGCGGGGTCGTTGCTTGGAGGAGTACCCGGATCAGCATGTGTAGGCGGTGCAAGAATTTTCTGCAGAACTGCCCAGAAAGCCCCATTCTAATTGTTGAGGCCCCAGATTCAAAGCCCCATCAGCAATTGCCCGACCAAAAAACATTGGCTTAGGCAAGTGGGGCGTAACTTCCGAAGCCCCTCGCTTGCATTCCGACGTTGTACGACTTCGGTTTGTGTGGTGGAGCATGTCGGAGATTTTTCCGGCCAGATTGTGGCTGTTTGTGGCTGGAGGAAGGCAAGCTGCCCAAGACACCAACTCAATGGGAGTTTCCGAAAATGAGGGGTACCTATTATTTTGGGGTCACAAAAAATAAGGATCCAACTATATAGGGTACTAGGTCGGGGTCCCTATTTTCCGAAACGCCCAAATCACTGCCTTGTTTACATGACGGAGCTTTCCTGTAGCTGAGGAGAAGGGGATTCGTGTAGGTGGAGGACGTGGGGGTTGCTGCAATCATACTTCTTTTGAGGGTCGTTGTTCCCAGAATAGTTACTACTGCAAGAACTCGGGATGTCACCCCTCAAAGATAGCAGTCCAGTCCACTGGTACAACCTCGCAGGATGGTACTGCAGTGGTACTTTCATCAATTGGCAGAAGCCCTCAACTAGGCAGACTTACGGACAAGATCTCTGTCTGGACGGATGGCACATGCCCTTTAGTAACTTTAGTAGGTTGTTTTCTTTCCCTGCGATGTGTTGTTTTCTTTGTCAGCCCTGCTCAGTTTCACTCAGCGGTCCTACTTCAAGGATCATGGGACTTTATAGCTAGGGTTGTAAATAGGGTGACTATACCCATAACAACTGAAAACCCCAATTCAGGCACTTATAAGCTTACTTACTCAGTCCCATGATCCTCCAAGTACAGACTTACGCCTCGCTTGGATTGTCCGAGTTGCGAGCGGCGAAACCCAACAGGAGCTGAATGCACGAGGCAAGCTACTCTATTGGTAGGACTCTTAAGCCTACCCGTATCCTGACCTCCTACTGCTACCGTCATATTCTAACGTCCTAAGCCATCCACCCACCTGCCACGAAGACTGGAATTTTGACTCCGAAGCATAGTGACCCTGTCATAGATGTTAGGGTTTAGAGACCTGAACATCAAGTTTCGCGTTGCCCGTGATACTATAGGGGCGTTAATAATTACCGATACTATTTTGGATTCCTTCATGATGTGGCCTCTGGGCCTTGTGTATGTGCTGGTGTTCCAGGGACCAGGGGGTCGAGCCTCTGTGACTTCTTCGAAAAATCCTGTCTGAGGGAGGGACCATTGGGAGTTGATGTCGGTATGAAAGCTATTTACCTGTTTTTGGAGGTGTTGGGGCTACGGAGTGAGTGCTAGCATGTGTGCTCTTGGACAGTGTAGAGTTGTATAGCGCTTTGCGCAAATCTGTCAGCTCAGCCTCTTAGTCGCTAACCCCTGCCCCGAAGGCTTACATTGGATTATTTGTAGTCTGAATATGCCGGGCCCGTAATAGTACCCTCATTTGTGGACTGTTACTAATGGGGGCAGTACTCACAGCTAAGGACTGCCTCTCTTTGTCCGCGGATCGGCAGCAGATTTTCCCGACCGCGGCCGGGGGCACGCGCACCGCGCTCCAGTGCTACCAGGCCCAATGTCTAAAAGGTTAGGTGGGCATTGAGTACGGCCCCCACTCAGTAATAGTTGAATAATATTCATAATATAGATATATTAGGACCTGAATAGTAGCCCTATCATAGACTGTTACTGTATGGGGGCAGTACCTAAGGTGGGCTGATGGTGGTACGGACCGGTCGGGGTTCGTTGGGCGTGAGTTGCACCCATCTGGTTTGAGGGGTTTCCACTAAGTGCAGGAAGTCCAAGATGGTGGAGTTGACGGATGTTGCTGAGGCATGTAGGACCCGTATGGGAGTTTCCGAAAAGTAGGGGACCCTAATATAGTACCCTGAATAGTAGGATCCTTATTATAAGGACCCCTAAATAAGGTACCCCCAATCTTCGGAAACTCCCAAAACGGTGATGAGGGATTCGGCTGGGCACGTCCTCAGTCTGTACAATGGACGGTTTTGCATGACTTCGCATGGTTTAAGATGTTTGTGCAGGCACAGTGTGTTGGGAATCCCATATGCTGCGACGACGAACTCACAGGTGACCGATATTTCCTCCAAGCTTGAGACAAGATTCAACCCAAGGCCCAAGAACCTTGCAGCCTAATCGCTGTTGAGATGGGAAAGGAAGTGCTCGGTTTGAAGCCTAAGACAAGCGAAAGACCAGTGACAGGACTTCATGGCCGCATTTCTCAAAGCCATGGGCAACCATGTTGGGTCCACCATCTGTGAGCTTCAGGCGGATGAGAGCTGCAACCAATTCTTTCCGAGTTGCTGGTAGAAGGACTGACTACGAGTTCTATCAGGGAGCTAAGCATATCAGGGATTCTAGACTTACTTAGCCTATTGGGGAACTTTAAACTTTTTGGCTTCATATATTTGGTCTAGCTTAAAAAGTTTGAACTTTGTTTGGGCCTGGTTATTGGAGAAGAGAGTAGAAGGGTTCTTACAACCCTGAAGCCAAATAAGCACCGCTGATGTCCCAAGCCTAGGCATGAAAGATGATGGTTACAATAGGGCACTTTGGGAGCCTTACTAGTTAGAACAGGGTTTTGGGTATGATGGTATAGGTGTATAGCTACAATGGGAACCCGAAGGAACAATATCAGGTTGTGGCTTTTATATTCTTACGTCTAAGTCGGGTTTTAGCGCCTGGATGGTTATACTTGCTTTCGACCAACAGTCAATGACCAGACAACCTTGCTATAGGTACCCAGGATCCGTCATGCATCCATATATGGAAGTTGTTGGTCCCGAAGCAAAAACAGTTGTTGGTAAAGTGGGCTAAACCATCAGAAATAGTGTCTGCTCACAATCTGTGCCATATCATTGCAGTATATACAGTGGCCGAAAGGCCTGCACGGTAGTCGAACAGGCCAGGCTGCTACGGTATCGGACCCGACAAACCCAAATCCCAAATCTTAGTGTCTTCTTGAGTGTTCCCTGCAGTTAGGCCGGGTCAGCTAAGGGGGGTGTAGGATCCTGCGTCATAGCACGGGAGCCAGGTTGGTATGGGCCCTTGCGGCGAGCTGCGCTACCCATCCTACCTCATGCCCGGTTCCCGAAGGGGTCGTATAAGTGTTCTTTGAGGGAAGGATGAGGGTTTAGTGCCTGTAGGGTTTCGGGGTAGCAGCATGAGGGCGCAAGGTTCACGGGATGAGAAGGCATGGGCCCTTCTAGAAAGTATACTGCTGAGAGGTCTCCTAGCGTTGTGGGCTTGGTGGATATACGGTACAAGCAGCGGACGCGCCTATTTAGAAATGTATTGAGTATGGTGAAGATTATCAACAAAATGGTATTGATGCAATAATAACTACGAGTGAAAATCCTACAGAGAGGTTTGCATTGCAGAACCCAGGATCCCCAACTTCTGCTATGGGGAACCGGCAGGAATGGGGCGGTCCCTAAAGTGCCCGAAACCGACGCCCCTCATCCGAAAGAAAGGCTGTAGAGTTCCGAGCTTGTGCGAGACCCCGTTGATCAATATACTCAGGCCAATATACTCAGACCGCGAAGCTTACAAACTCTAGACTAGACTTGCCCGCGGCCCAAGTGCCATCACAGACACGAACCTGTCTTTTGATAAGACTTGGTGGAAGCCTGTGTCTCCCAATCTTGAGTAGAGGAAAAGAATAAGCAGTTTTGCCTGTCGCGCGCGAGGATTTCCTTGCTTCGGGATGCATGTTGGGTTAGGAGATGCTAGTCAGGAGCCCCAAGAGGAATTTGATTTTGGAGCTTATTGTTGAGCTTGAGTGTTGAGGGGGGGCTTGGCGCGTTTTGTGAGCTCATGCTGTGATGTTCTTCGTTTCGCTAGCATGCCCGATCGGCAGTGCTGGACGCTCTGCCTGAAGTCAAACATACACTGTATTTTAAGAAGACCTCAATTCCTGTTAGGTGCGCGAGTTCGAGAAGCGAATTCCTGAACTCCACGTCGCGAGGTCGAACGGCTGGAACTGGCCAGGTGTGGGGATTGCCATGGCCTACGACAAGGGCATGCTGCAGATGCTCAAGGAACAGAGGGTGTTGTGCAAGAAAGTCCATGTGAGTGGCCAACGTGCTCACAGAATTGACGCTTGCTTTTCTGGACACAGGCCTACAGTCTTCAATCTAGCATCTTCAATTCTTGACACAGTGTGTCGTCGCCCTGATGGGCGTAAGCATGCTTAGGCATGTTCTGTGCTTACTCAGATGCTCTTGAAGTTGTCAGAGCTGGGCGGGGTTGCTTGGTATCACGACTTCTCACGCGGTCTTACTTTTTCTGTTGTTTGCCGTCTGTTTCTCTGTTTCGTGTGTCTTCGTGTGTCATCTCCGTACCCATCTCCATCTCGTCGAAGCACAGTCCGCCGTCGATCGGCACGGCTCTGAGCGGAGAAGCATGCATCTATACCTGTATCCATGTCCACATCGCTATCTGTATCTGCAGATACAGACAGCTATATATATATATATATACACACACACACACACACGCACATACACATGCGTACGTACGCACACGCACTCACCTACACACATACACACGCATGCACGTACATACATGGTTGCACACATGCATAAATACACACATACATACGTGCATACATACATACGATAATGCTAGCACATGAACGCAATCTAACGCACTGTAACATGACGAAACGCGACGTATGTACGCATGTGCGTATGTATGTAGTATGTATGTATGTATGTATGTATGTATATATGTATGTGTGTTTATGTAATTCAATGCATGTAATTATGTATGCATGCATGTATCCATGCATGTATGTATGAACGTATATATGCATTTATGCATGTATGTATATTTGTCTGTGTGTGTGTGTGTGTGTGGATCTGCCTGGCTTTATGCATGTATGTATGCATTTATTTATGTAAGTGTATAAGTATGTAAGTATGTTTGTAAGTAAGTAATTATGTATGTATATACTCATGCATGTGCGTGTATGTCTGTACACGTGTTTGTATGTATGTATGTATGCATGTATGTATGTCGGTAGGTAGCTAGCCAGGTAGGTGGTACGCATGGACGGATGGATGCATGTACGTAGGTAGAGTGAATGTCAGGTGCATGTGCATACCTGTCTACCTCGCTACTCAGCGCTGCCCGACCAGCTGCCCATGCATGCCTACTATTCACCTGTGCTTTCCATTTGCACGTCTCTGCACGTACAGGTGCACCTGATTTCAACATTTCAACATTCCCGTCCTGCTTGAAGCGCCTTCGAAAGTCTCAAGCAGTCTTCTTGGTGTCCGTTACCTTCCTTTTCTTGCAGCCATGCGTGAGCTCGTGCACGTTCAGGGTGGCCAATGCGGAAACCAAATCGGTGCCAAGTTCTGGGAGGTGATCGCCGATGAGCACGGCATCGATCCCACGGGAACCTACCACGGGGATTCCGACCTCCAGTTGGAACGCATCAATGTGTACTTCAACGAGGCCTTACCCTAAGCCGCACATCTTCCCTGCAATACTTGCTGCTAACCCTCTCCGGAGCTAGGTTGCGTGCAGTTCACTCACACACATGTGTACTTCAACGAGGCCACCGGTGGACGATACGTTCCGCGAGCGATCCTGATGGATTTGGAGCCTGGAACCATGGACTCCGTCCGAGCCGGGCCTTTTGGTCAGCTCTTCCGTCCCGACAACTTCGTCTTCGGACAGACACTAGGTTCTCCAGTAGGATTGTAGCCGTTTGCAATTTTTTTTAAAAGAGTTTCCTTACGAAGCGGTTACTCTTGTTTTTGAGGAGACTCTGCACGCAAAACCTAGGACAGGAGCTGGAAATAACTGGGCCAAGGGTCACTACACCGAGGGCGCAGAACTCATTGATTCGGTGCTCGATGTGGTGCGAAAGGAGGCTGAAGGCTGCGACTGCCTTCAGGGTTTCCAGCTCTGTCACTCGCTCGGTGGCGGCACCGGAGCCGGCATGGGAACATTGCTCATCTCCAAGGTGCGAGAGGAGTACCCGGACCGCATCATGGAGACTTTCTCGGTGATCCCTTCGCCCAAGGTCTCCGACACAGTGGTTGAGCCGTACAATGCCGTCCTGAGCTTTCACCAGCTCGTGGAGAACTCCGATGAGTCTTTCCTGCTGGACAACGAGGCACTCTACGACATTTGCTTCCGAACGCTGAAGCTGACGACGCCAACGTACGGTGACTTGAACCACTTGGTCTCTGCAGCGATGAGCGGCGTGACTTGCTGCTTGCGCTTCCCGGGACAGTTGAACTGTGACCTCCGCAAGATCGCCGTGAACCTCGTGCCGTTCCCACGCTTGCACTTCTTCATGACCGGCTTCGCACCCTTGACCTCTCGCGGCTCGCAGCAGTACCGGGCCCTGACCGTGCCCGAGCTGACGCAACAGATGCCTCGAGGATCCTATTGAGTATGGCTGTTATGGGTTGACGTCAAAGGTATCCACCCTGAGCCTAAACTCCAAAAGCTTTAAACCGCAGAAGAACTAGCTAGGTTCGATGCGAAGAACATGATGTGCGCCGCCGATCCCCGACATGGACGCTACCTGACAGCTGCCGCACTTTTCCGTGGCCGCATGTCGACGAAGGAGGCAGGTGATGAGCCCGAGACAATAACCATAAAATCTTAGGTGATGATGTATCCGCTCTGGAAACATACCTGCCCTCCTTCTCCAGAGTATGAGGGCGTGATCATTTCCGTTCATGATGGGGTTAAGACTTTGTCACCTTGCCCTACAATCATACCTTCAGGTCGATGAGCAGATGCTTAACGTTCAAAACAAGAACTCTTCCTACTTCGTTGAGACTTGGCCGTGTCTTTAGAGGGACTGCTTTGGGCGTGGGCGTGAGTGCGTGAAGAGAAGCGCTGATTTACGAGGCCTTGTTGTGCACCAAGCCTCGCCCCTAGCATTCAAAGCTCGTGGCCAACCTAAGCCCCAAGCTTCCTTGCTGCAGCAGTCGAGGGGCCATGGGGATGGGCCCGGAAGACTGCGTGCTTTGCTGTCTTGCCCTTACCACTTCCCGAGTTTTGATGTTCGAGACGCCGAGGAATGGATCCCCAACAACATCAAGGCCTCGGTCTGTGACATCCCGCCCAAGGCGCGTGCCAGCTGCGTTCTATCCGATAGCCATCGCATCGGCGTTTCGGCATAATACGACGTTGGGCAAAGAAGGAAAGCCTGACTGCGAGTTATCATACAAGAGACATGTAGTTGCCCTGTCTCGCTGCTGTCTGCCAGGGACTGAAGATGGCGGTGTCGTTCGCCGGCAACTCCACTGCGATCCAGGAGATGTTCAAGCGCGTGGCAGAGTACTTCACTGCCATGTTCCGACGCAAGGCCTTCTTGCACTGGTACACCGGCGAAGGCATGGACGAGATGGAGTTCACTGAGGCGGAGTCGAACATGAACGACTTGGTGTCGGAGTATCAGCAGTACCAGGATGCCACTGCTGAGGAGGAAGGCGAGTTTGACGAGGAGGAGGGCGAGTATGACGGATAAGCGCGAAGAGTCGCCGACCCATGCTCGTTCCACCGGATTGTTCAGACCGATGATGACCTTGACTGCGCCAGCTACTTCGGTAGGGAGCAGCCGGGGGAATTCATTCCTGGCACGCTCTCAGGAGAATCCTGATTGCAGGTCGAGCATGAAGTCGCATCAAGTTTCGCAGTTTGCGGGCGAGACAGGTAGAAAGTGCGCGCCCGCGTTTCTCACAACTTTGACCCTGAAATCTGTGACACAATGATCCCAAGCAAGCAAGCAAGCAATTAGACAGGCACGCGGTGTGACCGATTTCCAAGTCACCCTGGAACCCATGCCAGAGGGACCTCGCCTGTGTTCCGCAAGAAGCCTGAGCTCTCCGCCCGAAAGCCGCGAGGACGACGCCGGGATGACAGAGCCTCCGAAGTCCTTGCCGGAGGATCAGAATGCTATGCCGCAGTGCTCAGAGTCTCAGAGCCCTTTGGAAGGTTTGTTGAAGATACCGCTTTCTTGGGGGGGGGTGCCGCATGACGCTGCAAACATAGGACGTTGTGTTTGGGCAGCTCTGTTGGTGGTCGCTGTGATTGGTTGTACTCCATCGTGCGGGGGTCTCCGGCCGAAGTCGTTGTGTCACGCCGGTGGGTGGAGCAGAGAAGGTTCTTCTTCGGGATAGTGGGGCTGCTCCTCCTATATCGGGAAGGCTTCAAAGGGGCCAGGTCCGATGCAAACGTGGGGGGGTGTTTGCTTCTTTAGAAACGCTGGATTTGTGCTCGTCTGCTCCCCGGTGGTCCCTGCTGCGTGACTTCAGTCGGCTCCATTCGGCTAGCGTTCGGGCGGTTCGGTTTCTTTAATATAGGGGCCTCAATAATTACCTATACTTTAGGGGGGGTCCTGAGAAAAATTCAATTATAGCATATTGGGCCCCAAAACCCTGTCTAATTGTTCAGGTCCATAATATTGCCTGTAGCATGGAGCCCATGTTGCCTCCGTTTACGTACGAAGCCAGGAGTCCAAATCGTCGTCCCATCGGCCCGGGAATCTCGGGGCCTATACAGTTCCGAGGCCGGACGACATCCCTATCTTCAAAGCGCCTGGAATGGAATTCCGAAGCGGCGCCGCGAAGGACCCTGTCTTGGTTTCTGGTGTAGTAGACCAGTGCAACTATAGGTTCCCTCTACACGCACAGTCTGCCAAGCTGAGGGGGTCGAAACAGCATACACACTGGTAACTTGTAGACCCTAATGCAGCGGGGTGCTGTCGATCGAACCACGATGCCGCACCGACCATGGGCGCGTTGCTTGGTGCAGCATGCTGCTTGATGGTTTAACTGTTTGTCTTGTGAGAGATGCTGGAGGACATCTCGACAAATAATTTCCGGCGTGAGGATTTGGGGAAGTCCAGCGTGTCACAAGCACAGAATCCCACGCCCTGAGCAATGGGTGACAGCAGGCAACATTGATATCCACCAGTCCGAGGCCTTGTTTCGCATCCTCAACCGCAGGAGGGGGAAGTCAAGGCTATCAGGGTACCCGCCCCGCTTGCCACACTCGCCCCACGCCCTTCGGGGCAAAGGCAAGTGGGACAAGTGGGGCAAGTAAGTGGTACGCAACAGCAGTGCGAGCGGCGAGGGGGGGGGTTGGGGGCGAGTGGGGCAGCGGGTTGGGGCGAGTGGGGCGATGGAGGCAATTGGGGCAACAGTGGGGCCAGTAGCGGAGGCAAGGGGGTCGAGCGGTGCGAGGTGCAAGTGTCGGCGCAACTGGGGCGAGTTTTGGCAGGTGGGGCAGCCCGTTTGAGCCCCCCCTGCCACATTCTTAACATTGAAGATCTTGTTAGCCGGTATACGCTTCAAGCACCAAAGCTCTCAGCTTGGGTATTGATCTAACGCGTTGACCAGGCTTTCCTCGAGTGGTACTCTTCGGTGCTCATTCGCCACGGCCGGCTGGGTCTTGAGCAGTCTTCCTTCAGAACGGCCGTCGGCTGTAGGATTTCCGATTGCATCGTGTCAATGCTTGAGCCCAGGGAAGGCGCCTCAACGTCTCTACCCAATGCCCGCGCACTCAAGTACACAGCAAAGCTGAACCATCAGCCCTCAAGCCCCAAGCCCGAAACCCCTGTCGACCCTACAGCCCTTATACCCTAATTTTTACTATGTTATTGCACTATCCCTTCAAGGCACCCTTAAAGTAACCAGTGGTCTTGCCCACGAGCTGAGCGGCGGTCGACAGGCAGGGACGTGCTTTCCGAGGCGAAGAAGGCCATCGATCGAGTGGGCGTCAATGCCTCGGTGGGGTTGGCTCTTTGAGGGCTCAAATTTTAATGCAGGCGTTCACCACTGTTCAGAAATCAGCTTTAGCCCCGTGGCCTTTGGCATGCACTTTGGTGCATGGAAAGACCTTGCGGCCGTGTCTTTCTTGCGTGTGTTGGGATGCTTCAGGGATGTCGGAGCGTGGGCCCGGGGAAGGCTGGCGTAGGGCGTAGGCATGCCTTCCAAAGCCGCACCGACAATTGTTGCTGTGTGTTTGTGATTCGCAGGGCTTATCTTGTGTATGCTGTCTCAGTGTATAAAGCGGATTGCCCCTTCCCATTTGCGAAAGTTCTGACACCGTTATCTTTATGGAGCTTGACACCCCAGGGCCCCAGGCCCCAGACAGGAAGCCATGCTCCCACGCCCTGTGCCGTGCCCCAAGATGCCCCAATCATCTGGCAAACCCTTAAAAGCTTCCTGCACTTTCTGAGTCCGTATTCCTTTCTCCCAAGTACCGAAGCCCGCAGCTCCAAATCCGATCTAGGTTCCTCTGCTTGAGCCCTTGCAAGCCCCCAGATCTCCGAAACCCCTGAGCTTTGACCTTGGGACTTCGTCTGAGTCCTACCCTGCGAACAAGTTCTGCTTGTCGGTGAAAGTCTCGGGCCTCCATTGGCACGTCCCGGGCCCAGATCTTGGCTGGAGAAAGGGTTTGTGTGTCCGATGCGATAAGCCGCACCCAGCAAACATGTCCTACGCACGAGCGCGAGAGCACACACCGGAAGAGATGCTCTACCTGTTTTCTGTATAAAGTAGGAGTAATGCAAAACCAGCTGCATGCATGGCAATGAGCACTGGATGGGTGGGGCGGACGGGGGGGGTTGTGAAGACCGCGTAAGCCCGGCAGGATGTGTGTGTGTGCCTGCTCTCAAAAGTACGTGCATGTATGTATGCACGTACGTGGCTATGTATATATGCATCCCTGCATGTTTGTGTGTATATGTGTTCATATGTCTACAAACTATTGCGCATATATATATATATATATATATATATATATATATATATATATATATATATATATATATATCAGTATACATGCAAATGAACGGAAATGTGTGAGTAATATGTAAGGAAAGAAGTTTATTTCATATATGTATATGTTATATATATATATATATATATATATATATATATATATATATACATATATATATACACATACATATACATGCATACGTAATATTGTGAGAGCTATATATATACATATATGTATATATATATATATATATATGCAAGTCTATATATATATGCAAGTCTATATATATATATATATATATATTTATCAATCCATCCGTCCATCCATCCATCTGTCTACCCCCTACCTGCACGTTTACATGCATAGCTACTCGGAGCTCGGGGTGGATATTGGCTATTAAATCTTAGCTGCTTTCGACTCTTCAACCAAGTACCCTGCAATGCGGGCTTCATCCTTGCTAGGCAGGAGGCAAAACATGCATACATACATGCTTACCGAGACTCGTTTACTGGGTTTGACTTACTTACATGCTTGTTTACTTGCCTACTTACGTACGTGCGTGCTTAATTATATACTAGGCTACGTACTTCTATATGTCACGTACACACACACGTATATACATATATGGATAGGTACACGTATATGTACATGGATATGGATATGTAGATGTAGATGTGTATGTCTGTCTGTATGTATGCATGCACGCATGCGTGTATGTGTGTATGTATGTACATATGTAAGTGTAGAGGCGTATGTGTGTAATGTGGGTATGTATACGTTCAGGCAGATGTATGTGTGCGGTGTACGGGTAAAGTGCATGTACATGCATATTTCTTTTGATTGTATGTTAATGTTCAGCGCATAAAGACCTCATTAAGAGTGCCCGGGTCTCGGGAAACTATTCAACATGATCTAGTTCGTCGAGGGCGTTCCGGCAACTCCGCCGAAGGCACACGATTTTGTAGTCCATATGAGGGTACTTATTCCCCTCTGTGAGTAGATCCGGAAGTCGCAGGCGTTTGAAGAAGCAGCGCGGCTACCGGCCAGCTCCTTTAAGTCGTGTAAGGTAGCTTTGATTTGAGATTCTCCGAAGCTGCAGCGTAGCTGAACTACTCGCGGCTCGTGAGTATGCAGCATTGTAATTCGTCAACAATCGCCCTTGTCATCCGGAGTCTTGGACAAGATGCAGAAACCCAAGCCACAGACACGGAAACAAGGAGATGTCTGGCGGGCACACGTATGAAGTGGATAGCGCTCTCTACTGGGCTGCCTTTTTACTGAGTCCTTCTTCCGACCAGCTGGACAGTAAAGAACCCCACATGTTGTAAACGCACCCAGCCCCCACCCCACCCCGTTTGGCCGCCCCAGCCAACCCAAAGGTAGAAAAAGCAGGAGTTGAGTCCAGCAACCTTGTAGTTCAGGTGACGCATCCTTCGCGCGCGACCGAGGTGCCACCGGGCAGGGTGTTCAAGGGTTGTCATCGGCAAGTAGCCAAATCATCCACGACTGCCGTGCCCGAGCCTGCATCTTCCAAGATTTTGGAAGCATCTGGATCTGGAGTACTGGGCGTTTCAGAGACTACACTGACCTGAGGCCTGTCGGGTCGTGAGTCCTGTTTGACAATGGCTCAGCAGCGTGTCAAAAGCACCATCTAGACTCTAGACGAGGCCAACATCCTCTGAAAAAAAACAGCTTTGTAACGACTACGACCACCGCCCCACTGCAGCTGCTGCTGCTACT